AACCATTTTATGCAACATAAAGAGCAAAAAGGATAAATGTTTTTTTTAGTATTTTTTTATACTTTTAACACTCGGGTGTATGCTTTCAAAATTTCATATCAGACCGTTGCATACTTGTATTTAATGTTACTTGTTACAAATCTTATAAATAGCTATTCAATCTTTAAAAATGCCTTTATCTTTGATACATTTTAACCATATAAAGAAAAAAAATCTGAATAATTTTATTTACAGAATTTATTTTTACCAAAAAAAATTTAACATAGAAGGGTTAAATTTGGTGGTGAGTCGGACGTTAGACTGAAAAGTCTTGATCTGAGGGATTGTGATGACATACTCCGGCTAGATTAAGGAGCTGTTGGACAATCTCTGGCTTCTTCATTTTATTTGGTTTAAATTAAGATTAGATTTCATTTCATTTCATTGTAGAGTGTTTAAGCTGGAAGGATGTAAGTACAGTGAAGAACAGGACCCTGATGAACCCCCAACTATCTCCAGACTTAAGATCAGGGAAGATATTGATCATCCTCATCATCTAGTATTCTACCAGGTACTGCACCTTTTTCGACAAATACTTCATTCAATGATTCATTTCTCAAAAAGACAAAATCTTGAAGGATATTTTTTGCATCTATTTCTAATCTTACCTTGCTTTAGCTTTCTGCACCGAGGCCTAAAATGACCTTGAGAATAAGCTATGCCATATTGATTCTGTCAAATGCAAGCCAATAGTTACTTTTCCTGTTCTTAATGTTTGTTTTTGGAATTGTCGATATTTTGTTTGCTAGAAGTAGAATGTCCTTACTATGGGATATTTACTATAAAAGTTGAATCTTATAGGGTGATTTGAGAAGAAGAAAAACTTTTAGTGAAATTTTTGTATTTCAATGACTTTTTCCCGTTATAGAACAAAGACGGAGACAATTGTTTGTTGGTCGCTACTGAGAATGGAAGTCTAAAGGTAGGTCAGATATTTAAAGATTTAAAAAAAACTGTGGTTAAAATTAAATTATTTAACAGGCGTACACCATCATCTCTGCAGGACTTTATAGCTGTTGGTCATTGTCCAGCGCCGAGCTACAGCTGACTACATCTATTCACCTGATAACTGTCCGGAATACAACAGCTGTGGTAGCAGACCACGTGGGAAATGTCGTCGTTGCAGGTCCGCCATTTTAAATTTTCGTATTACTAATAAAACATAAAAATTAGATTAAGTAAGGATTCTTTAAGTGTTATTTTTAGATTTAGAGAAAGAGAGTGTTATTGCTAAATTACCATCGTATAAAGAAGCAACACTTACCGCACTCGCACTTAGGCACAGGATCTTTCTTAGATATTTTTATTTTTTATTAACATCTTGATTTATGATCGTGTTATAGAAATTTAATTGTACATCATTTTTTTTGAATTCGTAGATTTTTTCTTTTATTTTCTTGTTCATCTCTGAAATGAGGGGAGGAAAGCCAGCCACTACAATGTCTCGTCCAAACCCCATTCTCCTCATTTTATCGTCAGAGCCGCCTCGGAATCTGCTTCCTTTGATCATTCTGTGTTCTAAAGTTTCCAATTCTCGAAGATAAAACTATTTTTTTTAATTTGGCCACGTTGGGGCATAAAATATGGATGGACTAAAATATTGCAATGAGTAGGAGTCTTAAAACCCGTGGAAATGATGTCAAACTTTATAATAGTTTTATCTTGGAGGATTAGACACTTGAAAAAAATAATATAAAAGGACGAGGATTTCGAGATGGCTCGGACGAGAAATTGAGGAAAATGTGGCTCGGATGAGAAATTGATGTGGTTGGCCTTCCTCCCCTCTCGAAAGGAAGCAAGAAAATTTGAGGGAAATAAAAAAAACTTTATTAAAGGGGGGTAATTTTATTGTACATTGTACATATTGTATATTTTAATACCAATTACCAATGGATTTATTTCATGTCTCACGTGTATTCCTGTCCTGATATTGCCATATTTCCTGTCCTAAGAAAAATCTGTGAATAGTCCTGACTGTTCAAATTGTGTCATGGTTTACACAAATCAGAGAGTTGTGGAGGTAGACATCAAATCCGCCAAGTAAGTATTTAAACTTAATAAATCATTTTCTTAGATATGTTGCTTATTCTCATAATGTTTTATATTGTCGAAATATCCCATTAAAGGTACAGTTAACTAAATTTCTCGTGACTCTTTGTTTAAAGCGTTTGAATCACAATGAAGCTTTTTCATTTGACTATTGATGAGGAACAGAAATAGATTTTATCAATTTCCTGCAAAATAATCTACAGTTCAATTTTAAATAGAATTTTCAGTCAATTTTAGATAAAATTCGAAGATAAGTCAATAATAGAGAAAGTCATCAATCAGCTTTTTTGAAGTTACACATTGGAACTAAACAGTCCCGGTATTTGTGGGGGCTAGGGAGTCCAAATTTGAAGGAGGAGAAAATTGGTCATTTTCGCAGAGTTAATATGCAAGGCAAAATTTCTTAACATATTTTAAGGCTTTATTGGTTTTTGATAGGTCAAGTATTTAAGAATATATAGGTAGTTTCAAATTGAAGTATTTGGCTTATCAGGGACTTAATAGCAACTATATTTGAGCATGATGAAATATATTTTTTAAATAATTATATTGTAGCAGTTAACTTTGCAATTTTTACCCTTAAATACCTTAAGAAATTCTTTGAGCAAACATACATACTGAATGATTTAGTTTCACTTTGTAATGGTAACAGCATAATTAAATTAAAATATATAATTGTTTTATCTTTAGATTTACTTCATTTTCTAATGGATTTAACAGAAAGCTTCACAAGGAATGGACTGCCCGGAAATTACCAGTTACAGGTATTATTTGACCGGTTCGTTCAGTCGGGTCCTATTTCACAGATAGGCTATAACTTGTCTGTTAATAATAATTATAAATGTTTATATCTGTTATTCTTTTATTTTCAGCTGGATCTACAAAATCCACGAAGTCTAATATAATTCAAACTAGGCTTTCAGGGCGCTTCGTGCACATCTTTTATTTAAATTGAAAATTATTTGATTTTATTTGAAAACTTACATAATATATTTAGATTTATTCGGCGTTTTTATCAATACAACGAAGACGGCTTTTATATATTTAAGTTTACAAGTAAACAAGCTTGGTAAAAATCAATAAGTTTAAATCGAAAGTCGTCTTCATTGTTTGATATAAACGACGACGACTGTTCTTAGATTTATCCTATATAACTCCTGATTTGATCCTGATGAATGACGATGAATTTCTCGCTGTCATGGATAAGGTAAATGGAAATATTTACAAAAATAATTCAAATTTAGTTTTGCAACATTTTCATTTTACATTCTATAAATGAAAATATTTACAATTTACAATTAACGAACTTCACTTGTATTTACAAAATAGGGATGAAACTTTTCTGTATTCATTTTAATTTTAAGGCATCTAAATATATATAAAGTTGTAATCTCTGTTTGTTTGTTTGTCCTATCATAACTCAGAAACCCTCGGACCGATTTGCCTCAAATCTTGATTCGGGAACAAGGAGACCCACGGGAATGTTCTTAGCTTGTTTTTGAGATTTTAAGTTGAGTGGGTCGACTTTATTAGTTTATTTTCTCAGTAAAATCGTTCAAGTGCGGGTAAATGGTAGGAGTAACTTTTAGTAACCTGAGCCGCGCTGGGTACCCAAGCTACTGTTTAAATAATAGAATTAAATAATAAATGGCAGTCGCAAATGGGCTTTAATAAAAATAACTAAGCATATTGTATATAGAAGAAAACTATTTTTTCTCTAGAAAGTGATTAAAAGAAAAAAGCTTCTCCCTTAATGCATATTAATGCATAACAAACACATAAAGGAGCAGAAACTTTATTTTCTTTATTCTATATTCTAAAATAAGTACTAGCAAGTAGCAATAACTGTTTTTATCAACGATTTAATCTTAAAATTATGACCCCAAAATTATAAACCCAAAAAGGTTTAGAAAGCAAACTAATAAAATAAATTTCTTCAATGAGGAAAGCTTTCATCTAAATTTTCAACTGTCCTTTTAAGGAGAAAGATATACAGGAACCTGAAACTAAGCTTCAAATTGTGGATTCCACCTTTAATACAGAGGATTCACAGGTAGGGCATAGATTAGACACAGGGTGTTCCACTAAACATGATAGTTTAGTAGAGGACTCACAGGTAGGGCATAGATTAGACACAGGGTGTTCCACTAAACATGATAGTTTAGTAGAGGACTCACATGTAGGGCATAGATTTTAGTGTTATAAGATTTCAAAAGATGTAAAGAATTTTGTTCAGATTTAGACAATTTTGCGTTGAATTAATTAATTGTATCAAATCAAAACCCAAAGTATCTCTGGTAATGTTGCGTGCACAACAATAGCAGACCACATTTTAAAAATGCCAGGACTTGAAAATCTAGCTTTTAGCTTAACTGTTACCATTTTATATTTTTACAACACAAAACCATATCATTAGATAATTTTGCAATTTTTTTTTTCTTGTGAATTTCCTGTGTTTTGGAGCCATTTGGTTAGATTTTGACTTGTTATAAACCAATCATTGCTTGATCAATAATGTTGATGATATTGTCTTTTCTAAGTTAAAAGTGTTAAATTGAGAAAATTCCAATACGCTTTCCTGCAGAAGAAAGCGGAAATCATTTTTGTAGAGAAACCACAATTGTAAATAACCAGTTTTCCAAAATTCAACATGGATATCTAATTTATACTTGATCAGAAAAAGCTTTAAGGGAACCGTTGTGAATTTGGCTTTGTCATCTTTTCATAGAGGGTCACATTACGCTTACAGTCCCTTTAAAGCAAAATAATCTTGTTCTAATGTTAGTTGAATACTCTAGGATGGAAGCTATGTGAGCAGCAGTCCTAGTGGAAGCAGTGTCAGACAAGAAACTGTTGGTGTAAACTGTCTCAGACTACTCAAGAAATTTTATCATTTGGTTGGAGTTCATCAACCCATACACATTTATCATTTAATTGGAGATAATTACTTAGATGATATGATAACGGTTAAGTTTTATTCCACCCCGCCCCCCGGCCCCAACACATTTATCATTTAATTTGGAGTGGAAATAAAATGATATCACCATAATCAGTTTGACGACAAAAAAATCTACAAGTTTCAACAATTTTTAGAACCCTATTTTCTCAAGAATTAATAATAAGTAATTTTAAAAATGAAGAGAACATTGTTTTCAGTCTGTGTTGAGGTGTCTCCAAGCCAAATAGAATCCAAGCTACCTCCAAGCCTCAGGGTCAAGAAGTACGGTGCTAATTAATTTTTTTACTTCAATAAATTATTTTGTTACAATTTTTTTTCTTGGAAGCAGTGTGAGAGGGTAAAGGTTTAGAATGAAGCGTTCTAAGCAAAGGGAATGTAAATGGCACCGGAGGTCCCCGACTTTAATGATAAAATACATTAAAAGCACAAATTTAAGTATTTCACAAAAACTATAAAGTTTTGTGAATTGGTGCTTATATAGTTAGATTCGTACATGATGCACCATCGGACTATCGAAAAAAAAAGTTTGGGTGAACCCGAGTTCGCTATTATTTCTTTTATTTGTCAATTATCAATTAAAGTTTTTTTAGCTGTCTTTTGATGGGCTTAAAAAGGATTCCGAGTGGTTCGGGCAGGGTTCTGCTAACTACCTGGGTTCGAACAGGATATTGCTGGGCACATGGCCACATGGCCCCCCTCCCTCGGTAAGCCCCTTACTGGCAAACAAGGGCAGAGGGACTACAGAAAAACTATATATATTATATTTAGATTATGGACAGACGAAAAATGGGCAATGGTCACACTTACAAAAAGGACTAGTGGATAAATTGAAAAAAGACTAGTGGATAAATTGAAAAAGGACTAGTGGATAAATTGAAAAAGGACTAGTGGATAAATTGAAAAAGGACTAGTGGATAAATTGAAAAAGGACTAGTGGATAAATTGAAAAAAGGACTGGTGGATAAATTGAAAAAAGGACTGGTGGATAAATTGAAAAAAGGTCTAGTGGATAAATTGAAAAAAGGACTGGTGGATAAATTAAAAAAAGGACTAGTGGATAAATTGAAAAAGGACTAGTGGATAAATTGAAAAAGGACTAGTAGACTGTAATAGGGGACTTTATACACATTTGTGAATATGACTAAACCATGCAGACTAACAGACAACAAGAAATAAATTATAAGTCTAGAAAAACAGAAATATTTTAAATTTAATATTATTATATTGACTCAAGGTTGTAATGCAAGGGAAGTTAATTGAAGTTGCGTATACTCTGCGTGCATATTGAAACCAGTTCTCTCTGGGCGGAAGTTGTAAACAAGAATAGATGCATCATCAGTGTTCGTTTAGTATCCGAGGAGGTTAAAAGCATTAAATTTTGAAAATTATGATAATTCACATAATTAGTTTCCTATGACCAGAATATTTCATTGAATTTTTATGTGAAAGATGGATCCCATGTCAGGCTGCAAAATCCGTCTTGTGTTTACATTACCGCCCAGTGACGGTACACTGCAGTATTAAAGATGCGTACACCTTTGAAATAACTTTCCTTGCATTAAATCCTTGTATTGACTCATGTCGTTCACATTTAACAAGTCAGGATAAACCCCTTTCTCACCCGCCCCCCCCCCCCCCAATCATATTTGACCATAATTCTGCAGGTTAACTTTACGAATTCAAGTTATCCTTAAGAAAATTAAATACTTTTGAATTAAGAAAACTAATTTACGAATAAAATAAAATAGGAAAGTTCTTAAATACGACATTAAAGGGGATGGATAGAGGGAGGGGTGGTTGCTCTCAGGATTTTGGAATTGCTCCTAGGGTTTTGGAATTGCTTCCAGGGTTTTAGAATTGCTCTTAGCCCTTAGGGTTATGTAGTGCTCCCAGGATTTTGGAGTTGCTCCCATGGTTTTAGAGTAAAATGTGAAAATTTATCCGACCTTTTACTTTAAAAACTGGAAATTGAAAAAGACGCCTCCGCTACCTCTTTTTTACTGCCTTTGTTCAGATATTTGCAGGGAAAAAAATCGCAAATTTCAGTTCAAGTAGCCTGTGGTGATCATAAAGTTTTAGTTAGCATAATTGACGACATTTGTTTTAGCTTATAAATTAAACATTATAGGCAAATGTAAACAACAATTTCTATTTTTCTCTTCGTTTTGAGACTTGGGAGTACTTCGAGAAAAATTACGATTCCGAGCTCCGAGTAAGAAAAACCGACACAGGCCCTAGAGAAAAGAACAAATACTTTTTATGACTATTCTATACAAACTACAAACAAATTCAGAGAGAGTATTGCTATAAAATTTTCGAATCCGTCCTGATATAGTTCACGGCTGGAAACACCTTGCTGAAGTCGTTTTGTTTGAAATAATCGGCATTTTTGACATCATATTGTTACTTTTTCTGAAAATAAAAACAAACTATTCTTCAAATATATGTATTTATTAAAATCGACAAATTGTCTGTCTTATTCGAAAACTGTTAAATTCAAATCGACTATAATCTACCAATCACATCGAATACATTAAATTATTGAGATATCTATATCTCTGCAACTTCATGTCGTAGACCTTGGATATTTAAAACTGAATTCTGTTAGATCAAATATTTGAAGTTTAAAATATCAAATATATATGGATTAGATTTTTGGGGTTGTGGCAAAAACTCAATTGCTTTTTAGAAGATGTTTCTACCAAACAGATCCCTCCATTTGTTAATGTTTTCATGTTTTTATCCTCAAAAAGAGCAAGGTTCCAAACCAGGGGGGATGATAGTTCTCTACCTGTGTGCTCAGTTAGCTGTACTGTACAGTTACCAACTGTTAACTAATATTTATATATTATAGGTTAGGCCAGAATCAACTTATAACAAACAAATATGCAGTACGCTCTCGGTATAGTTTATGGCCTATAAAATTAGTAAAGTATTAGCGTACATCATCACTCTACACTGTATAACCTCGTTGTTCCCCAAACCTAGACAGAGAAAATTGCTCGAATCATATCTCCACATTATTACCATGGTTTATCAATGAATATAAAGAAGGTTTTACCAATCTCCACTCTGCATTTGTTTTGTTTCCATGGTTTAAAGAAAAGGAGGCAAGCCAGCTTTAAGAGAGAATTCTGCTTTAGACACTTCTGTAAAATCTATCAGTTCTGTTAATGCAGTTAGCGAGGTAGGTATTTGGTAGGTCAGGGAATCATAATATTCACTGTTAATTTAAATCTGTTACGCCCTCTGATCAAACGATCCTTAAATCTAAATTAGGTAAGAATCACAGGCACTGCTCTCGTAATTACGATATAAAATAAATCGCTTTTATTCAACAAAAAATCACTTATTCGGCAGCAAAAGTTGGATCACTGCCAATTAGGCAATTTTTTGATAGAGAATTATTTGATTTCGTAATCTAGAGTGCAACAGCTAGAGATGGGCAGTTTAAGTTTAAGCGCAAAGTCGACGTTCAAAATCATCCATTTGTGTATTTACGTTGGAGAATAGATTTTTTAAAATCATTAAATAACGACGATATAAAATGTAAAAAAAATCTACAGTAAACTAATTAGATGTGTAGAACATATTTTTCAATTAAAATTTTCCCAATAAATCAATATTAGAATCATTTTTTTTCATAATTATATATTAAATTTCTTATTCTTTACGAATTTGTTCCCAGATTTCTTCAAAATCTTTAAATGTCGTCTATTTAATAAAATTGCAGGAAATCTACAAAAATGTTTGTGAACAATGAGACATTACAGTAATTCCAATAACTGAATAAGATTACTTATTTTCGATGTTAATAGTTAGTTTTCATGTTCTCAAATTTTTAAAATCCGATTCTCTAAATGATCCTTTAAAAATGAACAATCTATGAGGATTTTAAAGATTGAATTTGCTCTCTTGCTGAACAAATATGCACTGTAAAATCGTCTCATAGGTTTCAAATGATTCCTATAAAATTACCATCTTAAAGTTGTTTTAATAAATGTCTGGAAACATTTATCTTTAATAATTTTTTAACATTTTGATTATTTTTAATTTTTTTACAAAATTGTTTATATCATCAGATGATACAATCTTTAATAACAATAATAAGCTTAAATAAGTAAAAGTATTGTTTAGTCGGCGTCCCCTTGTTTAGACCAAAATATTTTCTTAAATGCATGAAAGCAGGATCTTATAATTCTAAATAATCCCTAGGGATGATTTAGCAGAAAAACGGAGAAACCTAGAAACTGAACATGAAAAATAATTGTTGTTAAGTTAGGCAAAGTGACATAAAAATATATTTTGTGCATGAAATATAATTTTCAAAAAATTAACTGATTGTTCTAATGTTCTGCAGAGCACAAGCGTAAAAGAAAATTTTAATAAATATTTTTGTAAATTTGATCGAAACAATTTAGATTTAAAACTACATTTAGTACTATACACAAACATTTTAATTATTAATTATAATTAAATTTGCGGGCAATAAAGTGTCAGGTTTCAGTAAATATCCAGTGATTATAAAGAAAAGGAGGTGAAATGTTGCACAAAATATTTTATATCCCGTTAATATATTCTAGGTCAGTATATCTTGTAATTACCAATTTTTCGTTTCACCATTCAAATAATAATAAACAAACTTTTTATTTAAACTCATTTTTAATAATTTAAAACCAGTTAGATCCCAAATTAAGAAAAAAATAAGTCTTATTACATTTCTGGCTGCACCGGCAGAAAACGACCTGAGATGTTTCCTGCAGGGCAGGGTACATTTAGGGTTTCCAAATTTTCGTTCAATCTCTTTCGCGAAAATTTCGTTCAGTCAACGAAAAATTGGACGAAAACAAAAATTTTCGTTCATTTCGCAAAAACGTTCGTTAAAAACTTTTCGACCTTTCGTTCAAAATCGTATTTTTTCGCAAATATTTAACAACCCATTTTTGCGAATTTTAACCTTATTTTACTAACATTTTTGATAAAATATTAAGAATTTTTGTTAAAACTTTTTGTTTAAGTATTGTTAAATTGGAGTCAAAGTTGACAACTAAATTTTGCTGATTTTAGCATCTCTGACATATAGCAGTCGTTGCAGAAATATTTAAATAAAATTTAACTCTTACAGATTCACATCAAACATGAATCGTCATGTTCACTTGAACACTCTATTATAGATGAACAGTATTTACACATACATTAGATAATTCGTCTGCATTATACTTTATGTTTTAACAAGAATCATGAACCAGTCATACAGCATTACCCTCAAGGGATGAAACTTGAAAATTAAAATTAAGGTGCAGTGGAGAAAAGAAAAAATATAATATGGGGGAAGAGAGAAAAGATAAAATATAAGATGGGAGAGAAAAGAAAAAATATAATATGGGGGAAGGGAGAAAAGAAAAAATATAATATGGGGGAAGAGAGAAAAGATAAAATATAATATGGGGGAAGAGAGAAAAGATAAAATATAAGATGGGAGAGAAAAGATATCATACTATGCCATAGTTTTAAACCTTTAAAGTTTAAAACTATTAAATACAACAAATATTTCATTTTATGAAAATTCAACGATATATATATATATCAGTATGATGAGACTGTAAGAACGATCTGAAATTCTTGAAATATGAAAATCTCAAAGTTAAAATTAGATTTCTGCTTTAATTGGTATATATAATAATTTTAAGAAGAAGAAACAATTTAACAGCAGCAGGAGATCATGCATATTAGGAAACAGACAATATTTCCTGGGTAACCCTGTGGCCTGTATATACTATTCGTAGACCATAAATCATGTTTGAAGGTTTGAAATAAAGTTATTTTATTTGCAACTCGTGTATGTGGATAAAGGAGACACCAACCTGATCAACTCGAGCTTTTTGTTTTCTACAACTTCAGGGTGTCCCAATAAACATGGGAATTCAGGGACGAATTCGAAATCGTCTTTTTAAACAATTCTTTGATTTAGTATAGTGAACCTATAGAGAAAGCTGTAATCCGTAAGATTTTCGTCTGCTATGTTCACAATTTGTTTGTTTATTTTTTGACGGTTGTACTAGGGAAGGAACCCCCGGACGCCATGAGCCTCTGCTATGCAGACATCGAGTTTCCCAGATTCGCTAGGCAGACCGAGCCTCCACTATGCAGACAAAACCTACGCTATGCAGACCGTTTTTTAACTTCAAAAAAAGGGATCGCTAAATCAAAGATTATAAAAGATAAATTGAAATTCAATTCAATGTTTTTTTCTAAATATTTTCTAAATCTTTAAGAAGCCTCTAATGCCACCATGTCTAAAAATTTCAAACAAATCTTTTATTTAAACTTAAAACACAATTTTAAAAAAACCTCCTGTATTACACAGGCCGATGCTCATTTCTGCAAATCGGAGGCTTGGTCTGCCTCGCAACTCTGGAAGGCTCGTGTCTGCATAGCGGAGGCTCATGGCGTCCGGGGGTTCCTTCCCTCATTGTACCTAGTAAAACTTGAAAATTACAGTATATAAACAGAGTAAACTTGTTCGTCTTCACTGTTCATCTTGCGGAGACATTATAGACACATCTTTACAGCCATTTACCGTTTTCATTCATAAAATAAACTCTAGCAGACATAACATTATGGCTTTTGAAATTAGGTATTACAATGCTAATTCATAACAAAGACGATATCGAATTCGTCACTGAATTCCCATGTTTATTGGGACACCCTGTATATAGTATTAGGGAAATGTAAATAGTATTAGATTGAACTTTGTAAAATACTTTTTTTCGAAATGCAGTGGTAGGCGATCATATCAAAATAATGAAGATGACTTTCGATTTCAATTTTGATTTATATCAAGATGTTTAACAGCATGAATATATATAAACATAGAAGTCAAAAGAAGCTGTCAATTAAAAAATCTTTTCTTTGATTAATTGTAAACTTATAATTTGAAATCAATCAAAACTTTAAAAAGTTGTCTTCATCATATTGATATAATCGCCAACCACTGTAATTATTATTATTATTATTATTAACCAGAATCCAGATAAATACTACCTATTCCAACCTATTTCAGCACAAAATATAAGCTTTGAAGGCAACCTTATATTCCCTGCCTCAAAAATCTGGGATTAGGATAACCTGAAGGCTGTAGGCTGTCGCACAAATTTCCATCATAACAAACAATGGATTAGACTAAAGCTTTATTGAAAATGTGAGGGATTAAAGTATTAATCTTAGAATTAAACAGTTGAATCAAATTCTTCTCTAAACATCCAATCCTCTTTATATCCAGACAGATCCACCTCTTCCTCCATAGCTTCCTCCGCTGCTGTGTCCTCCAGAGCTTCCTCCAAAGCTACCTCCACTGCTATGTCCTCCGGAGCTTGAGGGCCATCCACCTGAGCTTCCTCCACTGCTGTACCCTCCGGAGCTTCCTCCAAAGCTTCCTCCAATGCTACCTCCGCTACTGTGTCCACCTCCAAGGCTTCCTCCACTGCTATAACCTCCGGAGCTTCCTCCAAAGCTTCCTCCGCTGCTGTGTCCACCAGAGCTTCCTCCAAAGCTACCTCCACTGCTATGCCCTCCAGAGCTTGAGGGCCATCCACCTGAGCTTCCTCCACTGCTGTACCCTCCGGAACTTCCTCCAAAGCTTCCTCCACTGCTATGTCCACCGGAGCTTCCCCCAAAGCTACCTCCACTACTGTGTCCACCTCCAAGGCTTCCTCCACTGTTGTAACCTCCAGAGCCTCCTCCAAAGCTTCCTCCGCTGCTGTGTCCACCGGAGCTTCCTCCAAAGCTTCCTCCGCTGCTATGTCCACCGGAGCTTCCTCCAAAGCTTCCTCCGCTGCTGTGTCCTCCAGAGCTTCCTCCAAAACTTCCTCCACTGCTGTGTCCACTGGAGCTTGAGGGCCATCTACTTGAGCTTCCTCCACTGCTATACCCTCCAGAGCTTCCTCCAAAGCTTCCTCCACTGCTGTGGCCTCCACCACTGCTATATCCAGAGGAGACACTGCCTCCACCCCAACCAGAGTTTCCAGAGGACCCTGAACTTCCATAACTTCTACTGTGTCCAGAAGCAATGGCGATCAGGGTTGCGGCAATCACAACCTAAGATTAAAATATCAATCAAGAATGGTCCAGATACTGTGCTTTAAAAATGGAGAACTGTCAAATTATAAAACTGTTTCAAGAAGAAAGACATATAAATATTACGGATAAAAACTAACCGTAAGCTTCATGATGATGATGGTTGCCTGGAAGCTAGGATTCAACTAGTGATTATCCAGAAACTACTCTGGTTTAAATACTCATCATAATCCTCAGTATGGTTTCGTTCTAGTTGGAAATACCAGGAATCCGGGACAAGGTAGAGGGAAGGAAGAGAAATCCCAAATCATTCTTAAGATTTAGATGCATTGAAGGAGTTAAAGATGTGAGATAGCTAGAAAGATAGCTGCTAGACGGGTGCGGTGCGCCTTAGATTTTTCTGCAATAAATAAAGTTTGCATTGTTGCAGAGCTTCACAGTTGTAATGTACAAAATTTTGCACAATTTTAAAGTTCAACAATTTTTCTTTATGTTGGGAAGAATGATTGAGACTTCCCAACATATGGTCGGTGTATGGAGTCCATGCATATTGTACCTATGCGCGGTAGAAAAAGGTGCGCCACTTTGAAATTCCTTTGAAAAATGTTATATTAAAAACATTTAATATTTAGAGGATTATAGAGATGCAATTTTTATGTAAAAATTCGATAAATTAATGATTTGATGAAGCTTGATAGTATTAATTTGAAAAGTACTGTAATTCGGACTATGGAGGAAGGTTAAGAAAAGGGGGGTTGAGAAAAAGATGCTGGGAGGGGAAGAATGTTGAGAAAAAGAGGGTGTAAGGGAAGGAAGGTTGAGAAAAAGGGTGTGAGGGGAGGAAGGTTGAGAAAAAGAAGAAGGATAAAACGAGAAAGAAGTGGTTAGGAAAGGAGGATGGAAGGGGTAAGGGATGATATTGAGGTTTCTTGATTCCATGTTTTTGTAGCGAGCTTTGATATGTTTTACGCTTAAACAAACAATTAACCGCTGTTAGTGTCTTATTTAAAGAAATAATTAGGATGACAGCTTAAAGGGACTGTAAATACAATTTAAAGAAATAATTAGGATGACAGCTGAAAGGGACTGTAAATACAATTCAAAGAGATAATTAGGATGACAGCTTAAAGGGACTGTAAATACAATTTAAAGAAATAATTAGGATAACAGCTTAAGGGGACTGTAAATAAAATTTAAAGAAATAATTAGGATGACAGCTTAAAGGGACTGAAAATACAATTTAAAGAAATAATTAGGATGACAGCTTAAAGGGACTGTAAATATAATTTAAAGAAATAATTAGGATGACAGCTTAAAGAAACTAAATACAATTTAAAGAGATAATTAGGATGACAGCTTAAAGGGACTGAAAATACAAATTAAAGAAATAATTAGGATGACAGCTGAAAGGGACTGTAAATACAATTCAAAGAGATAATTAGAATGACAGCTTAAAGGGACTGTAAATACAATTTAAAGAAATAATTAGGATGACAGCTTAAAGGGACTGTAAATACAATTTAAAGAAATAATTAGGATGACAGCTTAAAGGGACTGTAAATACATTTCAAAGAGATAATTAGAATGACAGCTTAAAGGGACCGTAAAAACAATTTAAAGAAATAATTAGGATGACAGCTTAAAGGGACTGTAAATACAATTTAAAGAAATAATTATGATAACAGCTTAAAATGACTGTAAATACAATTTAAAGAGATAATTAGGATGACAGCTGAAAGGGACTGTAAATACAATCTAAAGAAATAATTTTTATTTCATGAAAATTAAAAAGTCCAGACTGAAAAGGCAATATTTAGCTGAAAACAAATCCCACCATTTCTGATTTAATTTGATGATGTTAAGCAACAAAGAGTTTTCATTAACTTTTCTTTATGTTAAAGCCTACAAGTCATCACCTTTACCCCCTCTTCCCCCTCCACCCTCTCCATCTCTACCCCTCCATCCCACGGTTTTCCCCCCCAAAGGTTCGGAAGATATACGTGAGTTGGGAGAGGGAGGAGGTGCAGAGCAGCCATGAGCTCCGCGAAATGACCTCCGGAGCCTCCTGATACACAGTATGAACTCCAAGCCCCACGAAACCAACTCCATGCCTCTCACTACGTCTCCCAGGAAATTCAAGTATTTCACAAAAACTATTGTATTTTGTGAATAGGTGCCCTTATAGTCTTAAACTCCATTTTTAATACAAAGTGTTTTATCTTAAAAAAACCATTTTAACATGTTGAGATTGCTTGACAAATTTTGGTGGATGTAAAAGCCAAATATGTTTTATTGGAGACTAAAATGCGGGGCGTGGAGACAGAAGGGCGGAGGCGTGGAGACAGTTTCGTAGACTTGGAGGTCATTCAGCGTATCAGGAGGCTCCGGAGGTCATTTTGCAGGGCTCATGGCGGCCCTGCACCCCCTCCCTCGTTGGAAGGGTATCGTCAAAACTAGTCAAAACTACTTAATTTGAAATTGTGTGCTAACTGCTAATGCTGCTCCAAACCTCATAGAGTTAATAAAGTAGGTGTTAGTTCCACATTTATGAACATATATTTCATAGAGTTACTAAAGTAGGTGTTATAGTTCCACATTTATGAACATATGTTTCATAGAGTTAATAAAGTAGGTGTTATAGTTCCACATTTATGAACATATATTTCATAGAGTTACTAATATAGTTCCATATGTATGAACATATATTTCATAAAGTTAATAGTTATAGTTCCACATGTATGAACATACATTTCATAGAGTTAATAAAGTATGTGTTAGTTCCACATTTATGACCATATATTTCATAGAGTTACTAAAGTAGGTGTTAGTTCCACATTTATGAACATATATTTCATAGAGTTAATAAAGTAGGTGTTATAGTTCCACATTTATGAACATATGTTTCGGTCTGGGTTAACCCTCGTCACTTCTTGAGATTGTTTCTGTCATGAAGATTTAAAACGAGTTAAATCAAATGAAATGCATAATATTTTCCACTAGTTTGCACGTTTCTAAAATTAAAGTCATCTACAACCATGGGGTTTATACAATTTATCATTTATTATATCATGCAACTCATTTCATCGGCAACCATGGGGTTTATACAATTTATTATTCATTATATCATGCAACTCATTTCATCAGCAACCAGGGGGTTTATACAGTTTATCATTTATGATATCATGCAACTCATTTCATCGGCAACCAGGGGGTTTATACAGTTTATCATTTATGATATCATGCAACTCATTTAATCGGCAACCAGGGGGTTTATACAGTTTATCATTTATCATATCATGCAACTCATTTCATCTGCAACCAGGGATTGTCAAGTTACCCTTCAGTTAAAAAGTTTCAGTAACTATTGACAGTGGTATACCCATAAAAATCTTATTTTTCTTTCAGAAATCGTTTTAAACTTTCCATAATCAACTTTTGAGGCGAAAACTAAATTTAACATAACTAGAAATATGATAAAATCTTGAAAACTCGGAAAATGATGTATTTTCAAAGAGGGATTTATTTGCGAGCCCAATTGATGGATTCACACAAAATATAAATATAGATTTAAGAACAACAAGGACACATTAAACATTTCGCGACGTTTTCGCTTAATTTTTTTCGCGAAAAATTGCGAAATTTCGCGAAAAAGTTTGCAAAACGCGACCGAAAATTTTCACATTTTTCCGCGAAACGTTTCGATCGCTGGAAACCCTTCGTATTAGTAAAGCTATTTGCCTTGTAACAACATCAAGTACACTTCAGTTTTGCTGAAATGTCGTTTTCCTACTCTACAGTTTTCTGGTTATCACTGTAGTAAGCCAAGGGAAAGGGTGACGGGGGGAAGAGGTGCAAATAAACCGGCTAGGACGATTAAAGGTGTTGATTTGTTGAATTTCTGAGTAAAAAGAAAAGGATAATTAATGAAATAAATTAGGGAAAACCTTTCTAGGCTCAGACTCGGAGTCATAAAATTCTTAGCAATTAAAAAAATTACGATTGAAAAAAACATTTCTTTTTTCTTTTTTAAGTTTGAACGGAAATATAACAAAGTTTCCTGAGGGAGGCCTGGACAAGAAGACTATTATTGAACGAGATTATCAAAGTATTTAAAAAAAAAACTTTTTTGAATTAAAGCAATATTTCAACAAAGCAAGTTAAGTGCCCGGAGACAACTTGAAGATAATAAGTTTTATTGCGAAATTAATTTTAGTGATTTTATTCCTCATTTTTTAAATACGATTTGCATTCTTCTCTTATTTTTATTTTTTTATTTCTAAAATATATGTTATAAATTATTCATTCTTCTTATTCAATAATTTTAACTGAATTCAAAAGCTGAGTTTTTCCATAATTTCATTTTTTACTATTTTTCTCCAATTTTTCCAATACTAGGCTTTTAGGGTGCTTCGCACCCATCTTCTATTTTAATTGAGAACATGTTCTTTTTGTTTACATTTTAAAACAAAGAAAAAAATTTCGCGGATTTTTAAAAAAAAATTCGCAGATTTTCAAGAATTTTTTTTTTACAAAATTAAAACCTTAAAACACATTTTTTAAAATTTTTATCATTCGTAAACGTTCCCTGTGACATGTGATGTCCCACAAAAAATTTGGGCCCGATCGGTTCAGCCGTTTTGACGTTTATTGGATACAAACAAACAGACAAACACCCAAACAGACAGACAAGCCAAATTTATATATAGATTCGTTGCATATTTGTAGATGTGGTCTCACTATAAATCTGGAATCATATTAATATCTAACCCCTAATATTTCAGTGGTTCATGAAGCTTCTGAGCAAGCCCCTACTCTAGAAACAATTGACTTCCCGCAGTTAAAAAACAATGTAAATATTAATTTAAAAGTGAAAAATTATTCCTAGCCTTTCTGGCATTTCCTTCTATCTTTTATTTTTACCCATTCTCAAATTCGTTTTTTTTTCTTCTGTTAATTTTCGGAATTTAAAGTTATTAAAAATTAAACTTTGAGCAAACAATTGCACTGCCAGGATCCCACCCAAAACCACCAAAAATCAGAATCCATTCAGTTCGGCCGTTTTACCATTTTAAAGTAAAATATTGAATGTAGAAATGTTCGAATATTCATGACATTAGTTGGCAAATACATAAATTTGAAAATCAGAGTTTGTGGCAAATACTCAGTTCCTTTTAACCTTCCTCGGGCCATGTATGTGAGTTGCCACAAACATTCGGACCCGATAGATTTAGCCATTTTGACGTTTATTGGATACAAACAGAAAGACAGACGACAAATATATTTATAAATACATCCTCATAAACACGGGAATAAAGAAACGACATTCAGATCGTCTTCGATCATGGAGATCTCCAGAACAATATAAATTACACATTATATTCCCGTACTCTTGGGATTAAACAATGTGTTTTTTCGATTTTCACAATTGATTGTTAAAGGATCAATTTTGTCAAATTTTCAAATTACTAAAAATAATCGCGAAAGAAAAAGCAAATTGTTATTTAAAGCTTCATTTCTATTACATAAATTGAAACACATTGTAAGTTGTATCTTACATAAATTTTAAAGAAGATATTAAGAAAAATTGTTGAAATCCTTTTTGTTGGTAGGCAGAAGAGTCAAATTCTAAGGAATGGTTTTTCAAAAACATATTTCAATTTTTAACATATCGAGAGAAAAAAATGTGTTTAAATTAAAGTATTCATAAGTTTTTCAAAACCAAGAAAGAGCCGAAAGCCAGAACTAATTATTCCAAACAGTGAAGATAAGTATGACATTTTTAAATATTCCGATTAATATTAAAAACATTTTTACATTTTTTTTATTTATTTTTTTTCCGAAGAAATGACGAATTCTGTACTTGTGGAAGAAGAAATGAAATTCAGGCGTAAAATTTTCGATAATTTAGAACAAGAAATTATTTCAAGTTATTATATTTGATCCAGAAATTTCCCCCCTTCAATTGCAATGGACAAGCTATTAAATAAAAAAATAAGGTTAACTTTTTATTGGAACAACTTTGGTATAAAAGAAATAAATAGATAGAAATAAATTTGTTCATGCATTTCACGGATTTCATTTAATATAAAAGTAAATTGTTAAAATTAGAATAATTTTTTAAATTAAGTTTTCGTCTTGGAAGATTAGAAAATATTCTTTTGACGTAAAAGAATTTCATATTATTTTTCAGCTGCAATGAACATGGTAATAATAAATCGAAAAACAAAACAATAATATTTTATTATTAAAATGATTACGTAAGAATTAACACAGAACGAATATCTGGTGGAGAAAGAATACCAGAAAATGTGTACCCTTGGCTTGTGAGGTAAAAAATACCAGAAAATGTGTATCCTTGGCTTGTGAGGTAAAAAATACCAGAAAATGTGTACCCTTGGCTTGTGAGGTAAGAGAAATTGTCCGATTCAAATATAATTTTTTTTCTCACTTTTTCTCATTAAAAATTTATTTAATATTCCGTCAATCTTATTTAATATCAATTGAAGGGCCTAGCGTTGCCCGTGGAATTATTTTTTTTAAATTAATATTTTTGAAGAAAAGTTAGATTTTGGAAAAATACAAATTTTAGAATGTTACCCCTGGGTTTCCTTAAAAAATTTCAGCCCATGCGGTTTGGCCGCCTATAGGGAACATATATACGAATGTCTTCTTTTATTATTTAAAGAAGATATGCAATACAGTAATGTTGAATTTGTATAATGAATTTTTAAATGCCAGACAAGTAAATTTTATAATGTTTTTTGTTTTTTAAATTATTTTCTTTCTTTATTTTTCAATTGTTTTTAGAATAACTGGAGGCTGTGCTGGAGACTGTGGCGGCTCATTGATCAGGTCTGAGATATTGCCATCCCTTCCTCTTTTCTATAAAGTCGGGCATATTGCCATGCTTTCCTTTTTCTGTAAATTTGGGTATATTGCCATCCCTTTCTTTATCTAAAAATTTGGATATATTGCCATCCCTTCCTCTTTTCAGTAAAGTCGGGCATATTGCCATGCTTTCCTTTTTCTATAAATTTGGATATATTGCCATCCCTTCCTCTTTTTTATAAAGTTTGGTATTGCCATTCCTTCCTCTTCTCTCTAAATTTGGGTACATTTCCATCCCTTCATCTTTTGTATAAAATTTAATACATTTCTATACCCTACTTTTTTGGACATACTAATTTTGACGTTTTTACGCTTCGTTTGAGGTTTTGCAATAGAATTTATATCAGATTATTATATTTGAAAAGTGTAATAAAATAACAGCAAACTTTTAAACACGTAATTAAAAAAAATAGTCTTACATAAATAATAAAAATTAAATAAATGTCATACTGAATTCTGTTAAAACCAACTGTAAATTATGTTTTAATGATATTTATTTTTAGTAATAAGTTTATTTTGACTGCCTACCACTGCTTGCAAGCATTTGACGAGGGAAAATATTAAAAAAAAATTTTCTTCAAATTATTAAATTTTTCTATCATTAAAATCAATGTGCATCTTCATTGAATATCTTAGAGAATCTTAACATTAATATTTTTTATAAGATAATACTGTGCTCTCCACGGAGCTAGATAATACTGTGCTCTCCACGGAGCTAGTCTATTTTCAACTTTAAAACTGGGTTTGAGTGTTCTGTTCAAAAAATTATATGTATGCAGAGAAATTTTTCATTTTATTTTGTAATTTGTTTTAAATGTTATAATTAATTTTCATGAGCGATATGTCAAGTTTAGAAACATACTGTGAGACCAGAAAACAGTGGTATAGGCAGACGACATTAAAGCAATTGAAGTTGTTTTTAATAAATATTTTTACAAGTGACATATTAAATCACTTATTTTGTAAAATAAATCTGTTCAAACCGAACAATTTCTATGTCTAATGTTTATTTAACTTTTAAAATTCATAACTTCAGAGTAAGGGTCGTCTTCCAGTTTATAAGATAAAAAATAAAACTACGAATTTTTCATTTAAATATTTTCACAAAGGACGGGCGAATAATTCCTGGTGAGTCAATTTTCTTTTCTTTTGTAAAATAATTGTTTCTTTGCTTGTATTTATTCAGAAAATTTTGCAATTTTTGGAAATAGTAAACCATCTTATACCACCTTCCACCCTTTACTGTTCAAACAAGTCAAAGATTTGGAAATAGTAAACCATCTTATACCACCCTCCACCCTTTACCGTTCAAACATGTCAAAGATTTGGAAATAGTAAACCATCTTACACCACCCTCCACCCTTTACCGTTCAAACATGTCAAAGATTTGGAAATAGTAAACCATCTTACACCACGCTCCACCCTTTACCGTTCAAACATGTGAAAGATTTGGAAATAGTAAACCATCTTACACCACGCTCCACCCTTTACCGTTCAAACATGTGAAAGATTTGGAAATAGTAAACCATCTTACACCACCCTCCACCCTTTACTGTTCAAACATGTCAAAGATTTCTCTGAGGTTCAGATCCAAACTTTTTGCGAAAATAATAATAGAAAAACTGGGTTCATTGTGACTTTAGATGTGTTTTTTTTAATATTAGCCCAGACGTTTGCAGTTGATGTTGCAAGATTTAATGATCCTGCAAAAATTGATATTTTAGACAAAAGAATTCAATTATCAAAAAAATAATTCTATTATCATATTCACGGCTTTTTTAAATCAAAAAAAAAATTCGATGATTTGGTGAATTTTTTAAAAGGGGAAAATCAAAGGGGTCTGAAGAATAAATGAGTTTTAATTTCAATAAAAGTGATTTAAAAATCTTAAGTTAGGGGGGGGGGGGGTTCAATTTGTTTTAAACCTAACACCACTTGAAATTTACGGACAAAATATTACATACCCTAAAGATAAATCAGCCTATGAGCATATGCATTATATCTTTGCAACACCATATATTGACTATTGGGGGTTTTCTTTTCTTGATTGAGAAGGATTGGTGGAAAATGTCCGAACTCACACTTTAAGTTTTATATTTTATACACTAACATTTCGATCAATTAACTTCTATTCTCATTTAAACTGTTAGGTGTGTGCAATCATGAAAACGGGAAAAGAAAAGCCATTTTAGGTAAATGTAATTTACATTTTAGGTAAACGTAATTTATATTTTAGGTAAATGTAATTTTACATTTTAGGTAAATGTAATTTTACATTTTAGGTAAATGTAATTTTACATTTTAGGTAAACGTAATTTTACATTTTAGGTAAATGTAATTTTACATTTTAGGTAAATGTAGTTTACATTTTAGGTAAACGTAATTTTTTTACATTTTAGGTAAATGTAATTTTACATTTTAGGTAAATGTAATTTTACATTTTAGATAAATGTACAACATTTTAGATAAATGTAAAGCCGATTTTTGTTTGCTTCTTTTCACAGTTAAAGAGAGTGACCGGCAATGGATGATAGTTGAACTGAGAATGTAGTATATTGTGGAGACGCTTTATAGGATTCAGTAGAGAAATATAAAAAGTTTTAATTATGCATAATAACTGAGTTTGAGTACAAAGTCGACGTTCAAAGTATCCATTGGGTGGTAACGATTTGAGAATCGATTTTTTAAAATTATAAAATAACAAGAATTCTACAGTAAACTAATTAGTTGTTTAGGAACAGGTTGAGAAAATAAAAATTGACTCTTATCATCGAAAATATGTAATCTTATTCAGTTATTGGTTTCTTTAATGTCTCATTTGTCATAATCATTTTCTGGAGATTTCCTGGATTTTTATTGAAAAGACGACATTAGAAGAATTTGAAGAAATGTGCGAACAAACTCTTAAAGAATAAGAAATTTTATATAATGAAATATATTGAAACGAAATAATTGATTCTAACATTGATTTATTGACAAATTTCTTTTAAGAAATATATTCCTAAACATCTAAATAGTTTACTGTAGAATTTTGATACATTTTTCGTCATTGCTATTTAATAATTAAAAAAAAAATCGATTCTCAAAATGTAACATCCCAAATGGATGATTTTGAACGTCGACTTTGCGCTTAAAATCAGTTATCATTAAAACTATGAATCAAACCTTTGACTGGTCAACGGTAATCTTCAAACCTTTGACTGGTCAACGGTAATCTTCAAACCTTTGACTGGTCAACGGTAATCTTCAAACTTTTGACTGGTCAACGGTAATTTTCAAATCTTTGACTGGTCAACCAGAACAAAGACCTCAGTGGATTGACATTCCTAAAAAGTCGTTTATCTGCAGAATGTGCGCTAAACTCGCGTTGACAGATAAAACAGGTTGAAATAAAGTGTTCAGATGAATAATGAAAAGTCTATCATCCTTGACCTGTCGAAGGTTTAAAGTTCACCATTGTGAATCGGTGATGCCCCTTTTAAAATAGAATGTCAATTCAAATTACGCTTACGCTTTTTTTACTTATATTCCCTAATGTTTACTTTCTTCAGGAATCTACAATGGCGAAGATTCTGAATTTCAGGAAAGGAAAAAACGCAAAGTTAACGCTGATAAGCTTTATCTAATATCAAATTTAAACCGAGCGAATTGTCGAACAAACAAAAAATAGAAAAGTTCTGAAAATGTCTTAGAATACCAAGAATGTATAGAAACTTTATTTTTAATATTTTTTCTACAGTTAAACCCTAAATTTTAAATTCATCGAACAAATTTATGAAATGTCGACTTGAGAATTTCTAATTGGTTTTATACTATTTTACGTAAATCTCAGTAATTGCAAAAATAAATAAATAGCCACGAATATGAGGAAACAGTTTTGTAGAGCTCCATATAATCATTAAATTAAAAAACTAAATATTTGCAACATTTTATTATCAGAAAGTGAAGAATACAACATTTGATAAATTCTTTCTATGTTTAATATTTAGGGTTTAACTGTAGACATAACGCATATTTATTTCGAATAAATTGAGCCAAAAATATCTCCCTAAATCTAGAAAAAATGTTTAATTGTTCATTTTCCCAGATTGTTAGAACATTGACACAATTTGTCTTCCCTGAAAATCCAGGACTAAATTTAGAGGTAGCCATTATACCAATCCTTGATATCCACTATATATATATATGATACAATGTCATGATATCTACTGTTTAGGATACATATCGTAGTTAACAATGTAATGATATCCACTGTATAGGATACAATTTCAGGCTATCCACTATATAGGATATAATCTCATGATATCATCCACTGTATAGCTGATACAATATACGCACAATATCCAATATCATGATACAATGTCATGATATCCACTATACAGGATACAATGTCATGCTATCCACTATATAGGATACAATGTCATAATATCCACTGTATAGTATACAACAAGCCATGATATCCGATGTATTGAATGCAACAAGTCATGATATCCACATATATAGGATACTACTAGTCGTGATATCCACTGTATAGGATACAGCAATTGCCATGATATCCACTGATATTGGATACAACAAGCCATGATATCCACTGATATATGGATACAACAAGCCATGATATCCACTGTATAGGATACAACAAGCCATGATATCCACTGTAATGGATACGACAAGTCATGATATCCACATATATAGGATACAACAAGCCATGATATTGCGATGTATATCCTGGCTGACCCTGTTCAGTTTTCTCCAACTATAAGGCCAGTTTGCCTGCCCAAGGTAATCTAATGAATGTAGGTTTTTACAAATTATTTGTAAAATTATTTTAATAGTTTCAAAATGAGGACTTGGTAGGAGTATCAGCTGTTGCAGCTGGCTGGGGACAATATGGGTAATTCAAATATTTTAGATTTAAAAAAAAAACTTAAAAGGAACTGTACTGTACTTTACTATACTGTACTGTACTGTACTGTACTGTACCTCACTGTACTGTACTGTACTGTACTGTACTGTACTGTACTGTACTGTACTGTACTGTACTGTACTGTACTGTACTGTACTGTACTGTACTGTAATGTACTGTACTGTACTGTAAGAGGAATTTTTAGAGCTCTCCGTGCAAGGATAGTATAATGCCGTTGATATTTCAAACTTAGATTAGATAATTGATCTCACAGAATTCATAATTTTAAATATCTAAAGTCTATAACATTGGGTTTAAAATATTAAGGGAAAAGAAATTCAGAGTTTGTGGCAAAGACTCAATTCTTTTGATAATTTTGAAAAAAAAATTCGGCATTTTTAGCCAGCAAAACCATATTACTGGTCTTAACAAATTTACTTTTTCATTGATTTTAAGTTTTCATATTATATTATTATATTGCACAATTCATTGCATCGAAAATATTAAAAATAAGTCAATTCTCGCGCTGAGGAATATATTTCAAGGTAAAAATAGTTTTCTTCCTCATTAAACATTTTGTGATTCTGTGTATTTTTGAATTTTAAAGATTAAAAATTATGTTCAGTGTGCAAAGCCCTCTTTCTGTGTATCCCAGGGAAGTAAATTTAATAGTTGGAACCACCCTCACTCATTCTAAGGTTAAATCTTTACTTTTTAAGATTTAAAATTAGTTAAAATGAAACTAAAAACTATTACATGCGGAATTTTAAGAAATTAAAATAAAATCTAATTTCAAAACAAAATCAATAAAACTAAACAAAATGAGCAAAATATTTAGCGAGATATTTTTAAGTATTTTTAAGTAATTTTATTAATTCTTAAGATGTTTACTACTCTGGTAGAAAGGAATGATGATGGCGTCTTTAAGGAAGGAAATCTTTTTAACATTTAAAAAAACAATTCTAACAAAAGTTTTAGGGGAAATTAATTATTGTCCATGAGCTATTTTCCGAAATAGTGTTTTATTCATAAAAGTAATTATTAATTACTAATTATTTTTGTAAAAATTTTTTTTCAATCATCTCGGAAGTTTACCAACGTTTTAAAATAGATTTGAAATGCCAAACATATTTTGAGTTTTGAGTAAACCTCAATTAGCTTACCCAGTTAACAACGGTACTTCAGATCATAGACGACAGAGTAATCCTTGTGTTTATCTCTAAATGAATAAAAATTACCGGAAAAATGCAGAGTATACGCTAGCGTACAGTGTGAACTCTACACAGCTGACTTTACATATTTCTCGAGAATCCGGAATATTTCGCGTCCAACGCGGTTTTATTATTACTTATTTTCTGCGACTTTTTGAATATAAATCAGCGTGCAAACAAAGTTATTTACAATTACTTTTTGTATATAAATAAAATCTGTCAACTTAATCAGTCAAAGGTTTAAATCGGAGACATATTTTAAAAAATGGACGATTACTTGAAATTTCGCCAACTGTCAATTAAATGGCAAAAACAGATTATACATTCTTAGTTGGTAACGGTAAAACAAAATTGTACAGCTCTTGATATGTATATCAATGCAAAAATAATGTCTGTTTTCTGAAAATGTTTTGAAAGGATCCGTGTGCTGGAGACAGTGGGGGTCCGTTGATGATTAAAGATGAGCACAATATCTATACTATTATCGGAACAACAAGTGTAGGTTATCTTCTAATCTTTTTACAATAAAAAATAAAAACAAAATTTAAATTACAGTCGTCGTCCTATATATCAATACAATGAAGACGACTTTCGATTAAGATTTTTATTTCAATCAAGCTTTTAAACAAAATGAATAGATACATATAAACAATAAAAAAGAAACAACGAGAAGCTATCAAATAGCTATCGAGTAACTTGTTGATAAAAGATTAAAACAATTGAAATAGACATTTTATGTTTTTGTTTTAATTGCTTTTTTTGTGTTACAGGGGGGAGGATATCTGTGTGATGCGGATAGTCTAGTGTAAGTCCTAATTTAATTTGTAAATTAAAAAAATGTTAGATTTACAAGACTTTCACAACATTTATTTAAAGGGACTGTAAACGTAATTTCAAGTGAACCCCAATTAATGCCCGATTCACAACGGTAATAACCAGAAAACTCTAAAATAGGAAGCGACTTTTAGAATAACGTTTTAGTTTCAAAAAGTCCTATGAGCATTAAACAATATTCCGTATCAGATGCCGGGAAATTTGAAATTTTGCGCGCCATTTAAGATTAATATACAGTAACGGGAGGGACTCTATAATTTTGAAAAACCGGTTTTTAATTTTCTGTACTATATTCAAATAAGAGTGGATTAAGCAAGAAATTAAAAGTGTCCCATTCTAAAGTTCCCAGCTCAGGTCACATATAAAAAGAACCGCTGAAGAAAATAGAAAGATAGGAATAAATTTATAATTTTCTCTCCGATAAAAGTATAAATGGTACCAATGTGAATCGGATAGGAAACTCTGTAAAAGCAAAATGAAGAGTTTCTATAAACTACCTTCAATCCTTATCATAAACTCTGTAAAAGCAAAATGGAGGGTTTTTATAAACTACCTTCAATCATAAACTCTGACTCATTTCTTATAGAGCAACTGTTTTGTTTGGAATTTGAGAGAAATCATCATCCTTGGAGTATCATCAGAGACCCCTTTCTTCGGAGACCCTCACCAAAATCTCATCAGAAACTCGTTCATGGGAGACCTCAACTTGTCATCTGATACCCTCAAGATTTTCATTGGAGACCCCAAGCTTTTCATTGGAGCCTACATATTTTTATTGGAGACCCCAAGTTTTCGTCAAAGCCTCAACATTTTCATCGGAGACCCGTAAATATTCTCCCAGAACCCCAAATGAAAGTCTTGGGGTCTCCGAATGAAAAGCTTGTGGTCTCTATAATGAAAAACTTTGGGTCTCCAATGAAATTCTGAGTGTATCCATTGAAAATCTGGGGGTTTCCGATGAAAAGCTTTGAACCTCCAATGACAAGGTCTGGGTATCCAATGAAAATCAGGTTGTCTCAAAAGAAAAGCTTAAAGTCTCAATTATAAAAGTTGGGCATCTCCGATTAGAAAAAAACTGGAGTTGTCAAAAAAAAACTAAATGAGTTTCCGATGACAAGATTTGTTGCCAATGCAAATCTGGAGTCTTCTACAAAAAGCTTGGAGACTCCAATAAAAATCTGGGGGTCTCTCGTAGTAATTTAGATATTTCAAATTCTGAATTCTGTTAGATCAAATGATCTAAGAATTAAATATTAAAGGTTTACAACAGTAGATTGGAAAGAATTTGAGTTTGTGGCAAAGACTCAATTACTATATTTTCAGGATTTTTCTTGGAGGAAATCTCAATTTAAAAAAAAAAGTTTTTTTAATCAGATTTTTCTTTTGATCGAGTAATTTAAAGACATGAAAAAGGAACAAAACTAGAAAGAATCTCAGAATTGAAAAGATTTAAATAAATTCTATTTAAAAATTGAGAATGTTTGAGAAAAGATGAATTACAAAAATGGAACAAGGTATCCGCCCATCTACCCTGGATAATGGTAAATACTAATATTAAAGGAACTGTTAGCGTAATTTCATTTAATCCTCACAAAAGAGTTTTATGCCGGATTTACAGCCACCTGCCTCTTTAAGGACATTTATCTGAAAAACAATGGGGAAGATATTTTCGTTTTTTTTTATCTTATAACGACAATATCCTTCTCATTGTCTGTCATTTCTGTCTTTGTTTCTGCTGCATAAAACCGCAAGTAACTGATGAATTAACTTCATCGATTTTCAAAATGAAAAGAAAAATATATTTATACGCTGACTGGTTTACACATTGTATTTGCACAGCCCGATTCTCTGATTTAAACTTCCTTGCAGGATGATTTATTTCTCAAGGAAGTTCAGCGTATGTTTACAAACAATACACGATAAACTGCATGTGTTTAAAATTATTAGTAAAGGAAGGACAACTGTTCAGTTCTTAGGTAAGTAGAGTTATTTGACAGCAAGGTTGCATATACTCTGTGTATATACTGAAAACAGTTCTCTCTGGGCGAATTTGTAAACAAGAATAGATGCATCAGTGTTCGTCTAGTATCCGAGGAGGTTAAAAGAATTTAATTTTGATAATTTTGAAAATTCACATAATAGTTTCCTATCACCAGAATATTTTATTGATTTTTTATGTGAAAGATGGATCCCATGTCAGGCTGTGACATCCGTCTTGTGTTTACTTTTTCGCCCAAAGACAGTACACTTCAGTACCAAAAATGCGTACACCTCTGAAATAACTTTCCTTGCATTAGTGCCTTGTTTGACAGAATCTTCACGATATACTGTCCAATTACCCTACTTTTCCTTTATTTATAAGAAATTTAAACTCTTTACTTAATGTAAAATATTGTGTTCTATTTTTGTACATATTGAAGCTTATAGAGAAATAGATTATCCTGTGAGGAAGTTAAACCATCTCTTTAAATCAGAGATACTATACTAACGAGGATGTCCGGGTTTAGCTAATGAAAATACAGCGTAGGACACCTTTAAATGGACTGTAAAGCAAAAATGAAGGTTAGGCTGAAACCTAAGCAGCTTAAGAGTTGATCAAGACCCATAAGAGTTATATCTGTCGATGTTCCTCTCTCGAGAAACTGATATAAAACTGTGTCAATGTTATACCAAAACTTATATATATAGGTCTCGATCAACTCCTTAAGTGCTTAGGTGTCAGCATATACCCTCTTTAATTTTTTCTACACAATCCATTTAAGAATCTTTGCAAATCTTTAGATGAAAAGTTACTTAAAAGTTCCAAAGTTCCATTAAAGTTTATCTATTAATTTTTATTTTTTAATATTTTATTTTATTCTCAGGACCTTCTGACAAAAGATAAAGATAATGGACTCTGCAAAAGAGAACAAATAATTCAGAATGAAAAAAGTAAAAAAATACCATTGAAAAGATACATTAATGACAAGGATTAACAAAATAAAATTAGAATTTCAAATTTTATTCAATTATATAAAGCAAACTGTATCCAGTTGATCGTTAAAAGCATAAAATTGTTAAATTTTCTAACATTTTTTTTCTTTAACTCTGAACTAGCTGCATATATGGGTATCTGTAGAATTACTTAAAACCTCCTAAAACAAGTGAATTTAAGATATCGCATATAATGCTATTTTTCAGTAATTAACCCTATTCCCGCTGGGGGGGGGGGTCAATTTGACCCCCCCCTGTAGTTTTTTTTACATAACTCAAAAAGTATTGGTCTGAGGCTGTTGAAATTTTCTGACTTTTCTTACATACCCAAAGCCCTCCCTTTAGGCCTAAAACCGGGCTTTAATACTAACTGCCTGAGTCCTCAGGCACACTGCCTGAATGACTGCTTTTGCCTGTAGCAAACTAAATCTTTGTTTTGACCCACTTTCACTTGTCAGATTTTGATAAAATTTAGCTTTTTGGAAAGCCTATGACATGAGAAAACGGATTGCACAAGTTTTGCGAAAAAAAAATTGCAAATTTTTTGCAAACAACCTGTCAAAGGAAATTTGCACATTTTTAGTTTTTCTTGATTAAAAATCAGGTTATTTAAAATTTTGCAAAAATTTTTGCATATTTGAAATGGCATGGTCAAGGGCTTTTCAAAAATGTATAATTTGTCATTTTTTGGACAAATTTTTTTTTTGCAAACATTTTTACTATAAAACTGGATTTTGCGATAAAAAATTCAATTTTCGCAAATTTGCAAAATTTTTTGCAGATTCTAAAAGTAGAGCACAAGAGCTTTCTAATTTTGCCGGGGGGGTTGACAGACTTAAAAAAGATAGGTTTAAACTTAATTTAAAAACAAACAGATATATAACACACCTTTATCCAGTCAAGATATATACCAACTTTATTCCATTTCTGATTCTCGTCTTTAATCAAACATTTTAAACATGTTTAATTATTTTGCGCATTTAATTAATTCTTTTAAAATGACTGTATACTGTGTACAGGTAACTTATTTCAGTGACACTCAATTGGTAAAGTGCCATTTTCGATTCACAACGGTACCCTTAACAGATGGCAAGCATGCACGATTCACAACGGTACCCTTAACAGATTTGTCTGATCAAGTATAAATTAGATATAAATGTATTGTTTTGAAAAATGATTATTTTCACTTTTGGATTCTCTACACTTGAGCTTTTTTTGTTGCTTGGGAAATAATAGAGAAATTAACAAAATTGAACACTTATTTAGCTATAGTTAGGGCGTTTCACGTTTTAAGGGTACCGTTGTGAATCTATCATTCATCTCTTTAAAGGAGGGTTACTTATGATTACAAGAACAGTCCCTTTATGCTATATTTCAAACCAATAGAAAAATGTTGTTTTCCTCCGAATGTCTTCCTAAAAAACATATTTGTTAAACTTTTTTCAAATTTAAAGTATTTTAACTTACACAAGCCCTGCCCGATCACAATCATAACCCCCGCCCTAAATAAAAAAGTTATGAAATGAATTTGAAATAGATCAAATACACTATGGATGCACACACTAACAGCTACACAGTAGGAAAAGGTCAAATGTGCATTACCAGTCCGACTGGGTGACCTCGTAGCGTATTTAGTTTTAATTATTTTACGCACAAGAAGAATGGGAAAATCAAACTTATCCGGTCACGTGACAAATTATAGAAATTCTAAAGATATTTGTATTCTCTACAGCTCTTCTAAATGAGGAGAATTCAGTCTTAAATGCAATTAGCTTTAGTTTGACGCGAAGAAGAACTAAAACCGTGTACGTAACCTATTTTTGTTGGTGTCTTATAAAAATAGGCGTTCACGACTGACAGAAATGCGCAACCGTTTAGTCGGATTTACGAATTTTTTAAAAATCATTTTCAGAAAAACGAATCAAGTTATTCACATTTAACTCCCAGAAGGGAAAGACACATTTGCTGTACTGTCTCGTTTCTCCTGACGTAGTCTGCATGTATACTATTACTGTACAGCTAGCGCTATGTTGTCGGTCCTGTACTTTACAGTGTACTGCCCATCATCAGTCACTGTGATCGTGCCAGGCTACATTTGTTGCATAAAGCGTGCTGGGTCAACTCTACTCTTGGTAGTACAGACTGGACAGTACGATTGAATGCCATGTACATTGTACAGTACATGTTGGACAGGATTGGATCATGCAACTTTTAGAGCGGTGTGTGCAGTTTAATCATATGATTTCACCTGAACAGTTCCAATGATTTGGAATTTATTTTCTTTGTTTTTTAGCATCAGAGGCCCTCCACTATCCCCAGCACAGGGGTCCTGGAGAAACAGGTTCAAAAATAATTAGGTTTTAGGTTTTTATGCCCATGAAAATTTTAGAAAACTAAAATCTTGTAGAATAAAAAACAAACATTAAAAATGCCTTTCTTTTACTTAAAAATGTTGATGAGTTTTAATACGCGTTTGATATGTGTTTGTAAAAAAAAATTGCATAAAAAAGTTGTTGGTTTCTCCAATACAGGGGTTTCTTTTTTTTGCTTTCAAAATGGACGGAGAAAATAAAAATTTTGATTAAACTTCACATTTAAAATTTAAAATGCAAGATCACTATTTTATAAATTGCTTATACGATGTAAGAGTTGAAATGTTAGAGTTGGAATTTAAAGACAAATTCAGAGTTCTATGCTTGTTTTTCATATTATGAAAAATAACAAGACAGGAATATTTTGTTCTGGCTCATTTTGATAAGATCCGACACTATAAACCTATAAAGACATGAATCAATAATAAAGAGAAAACATTGGAATAATTATCATCTTCATTCTTACTTTTAGTTATGAAAAATCGATGCGAACTTTTTTATTTGTAAGCTACACAGCTTACACAGATGTACGTTATGACAGATATATGTTAGATATTAGTATTATCGAAAATTCAATTGAAAAATTATTACAAAACTCCTAGCGACACCTATTTATTACAAAACTCCTCTAGCGACACCTATTTATTACAAAACTCCTAGCGACACCTATTATTACAAAACTCCTAGCGACACCTATTTATTACAAAACTCCTAGCGACACCTATTTATTACAAAACTCCTCTAGCGACACCTATTTATTACAAAACTCCTAGCGACGCCTATTTATTACAAAACTCCTAGCGACACCTATTTATTACAAAACTCCTAGCGACACCTATTTATTACAAAACTCCTAGCGATACCTCCTAAAAAAATTACTAATTCCATGGTTTTTCTGGATTTCTGGAATTACTTTACTTATATCCTTTTAGTAAAAAATAATTCTGATTTCCTTGTAAAGTCCATCTTCATTTTTTTCTGTAATAGTACTGAACAACTGAAAAAAAATCATTAAAATCTTTTTTACCAAAAGAAAAAATTGTTGTTACCGTATGATGCTGTATTGGTGGAGCAACTGTTAAAGAGACAGAGCGCAAAACCTTGGAGTTTGTGTTCCTGCCGACTCTATCAACATTTTGTTTAAAAAGATTGTAAAAATTTATTTTTTAAAGACTAACCTGTAATCCCCCCAGCCTGCAGATATAGCTTCTAAACCAGTATAATCTTTGGTTCCACTCTTAACATAATTTAAATTCCAGTTTGAACTGCAAATAGTATAAGTAAGCTACTAACATAGAGAATAAAATATAAATTAGAGGGGAATTTAAAGAATCTCTCGGTGTGAATTTTTTCAGTCCCTTTCGGCCTGAAAGGGAGTTCAAAGTGTACAAATCATGTAAATGTTCACAAATTATATGCAATAGAGTACATTAATACAGTATGTTCCCTAGACTATTTATTTCAATTTCGAATTTTTTTAAACTGTTAAATAAACTTTATAATGAATTAGGTGAATAAAAACATCATTTGATTTATAGTTATAACGGAAAATCATCGTTTGTAAAGTGGAAGGCATAGAGTCTATGTGAAATGATCATTGGTCAATTATGAAACCAGCCTATTTCATAATTTGGTTTTCTTTTAACAATAATTTTAGATTTTCTATAAAATGATATTCCAGGGCCCAAAAGGTTATATAGCATAAATATGTGAAATACACCTGCAGTATGGAAACAGTACAACAAAATGGCCGTTTTACACTTTTTTCTAGTAAATTCCCCTCTAATATATATTCTATTCTCTATGGCTACTAAGTATGTAAATTGTACATATATATGTATTTATGTCAGAAGAAACTGAACAGAGTAGTGTCAGCATTTCAGTAAGAAAAACTTTTGAGTTGCCAGAGAAGTTTTGTAGATATTAATATTTTGGTTAAGAAGTCTTATTTTTTTATATTATCTTTTCGTTTTCTGATTTTTTTTTATTAAAATCTACGCAAATGCATAGACCCCAAAAAGGAAACTCAGGAGTTTTGTACAACGATGCTCTCTTAGATCTCCGGCATTATAGGCGGAAATGTACAGGGGAACAGTCGGAACGGTATGGGGACCCACATGACAGTGTAACCAGGCGGGATGGTACAGGGTACCCATATGACAATGTAACCAGGCGGGATGGTACAGGGTACGCACATGACAGTGTGACAGTCAGGACAAGGTGGATGTGGAGGTTGAGCCTGAATTCCTGTAAGTGATTAAACTATACCTGGGGTAGGCAAACTGGTAGAACTGATGAATTGAATTGTACAGTGGTTTCTAGCTCATATATAGCTAAGTCTGTACTATTCAAGTCCTAGAGTAAAAACAAATATTTTTCTAAAAATAAATTAACTATCAAATTATTTTTGCCCACCTGTAAATCAATCCCCGCTATGCCTGGGAAATAATACTTTTTTAAAGAAATACCATTTGGATTTTTTCTTTCAAAAGTATTCGTTCCAATCAACGCTTTCCGCTCCCCGTCAGAATGGTCGCAGGGGGCTAAAATATTGAAAAAATATTTCTTATTAGATAACTAGAATTTTTTTAAATCGAAAATTTATTTTTATTTATACATCCCCTTTTATCAACATGAGGTATTCAACCAAAATAAATAGAAATATAAATAAAAGATAAATAAAAAAAAAAATAAAAAAACTTACTTTTAGTCTTTGATATTTTCAAGCAGTGATAGGATGTCAATATGTGCCTGTCACTGAGAATATAAAAAAAATTAAATCTTTAAAGGGATTGCTTATCTTTTTATTAAATAACACACATTATACCCCATATTTTTGATATAATATAACAGTAAATCTTACAGCTCAAAAATGATTCTAAAATGCGGAAAAACTCGATACTTTTGTGTGAAAATGACTTAGCTTTTTTTGTAAATTCCGTGGACTTTCAATTTTTCTTCTGTTCATTGGACTGCACAATATGATAACTTAAAGGATAAATCAAAATAATACACATTCTAAAAAAAAATAGGCTAAATATACATGAAAACCTCTTTTACTGAAAAAACCACCTTATAATCATGATAAACCATGACAGAATACTTTTATGTACAGAATATTTTGAGTTCTAACCTGATTAACGACCCTGTACAGTACTGTCTAGCACACCCTCCATATATTCTGTGTAGTGTGTACATATTACAAAAATAATATTATTTTTATTAACTACAATTTAAAAAAGAACATAAATAACAATATTTTAACATGCATGATAAATAACAACAGCCCACCTATACCAACCTACCTACCTACCTACCTACCTACCTACCTACCTACCTACCTACCTACCTACCTACCAACCTACCTACCAAACTACCTCCCTACCAACCTCCCACCCTACCTACCTAACAAGCCAAGGGTATTGTCCATCTAAGGTTTCCACTCCTCCGATAATTCTGTTGGAGTCGGATATCCTGAATTTGAGATTATAATGAAGCCAGTGGTCTACGTCAGGGGGGGGGGGTTATGGAGGCCTAGCCCCAACTTAAAACTGGGATCCTCATGGCTCTGGACAAATTCCTGTATACACCCCTGATTTGAGGATTTGTTTATTTTTTTAAACCTAGGTAGGCTAGACCAATTTTGATAAAAGCATTTTGAAAAAACTGGGAAAAAGAATTAACTATGATTAAAAAGGAATGGTTCAGTGCTTTAAAGTTGTATAATATAATTTTGAATTAGAACAAATGAACTTGATTAAATCAAGCAGAATATCCTGTTCACTGTAGTAATGGAATAATCATGGAATATCAAATTATTTTTTTCGATGAAAAGGAATTCTGTGCAGTTAATTATTTGAGAAAATAGTTTTGAGTTTTAAACACTTCTTCATTAATATTCTTTATTTGTGCAAATCTGTATAATGTGATGTTAGATATTTTCCCAAAGGCAACTTCCCAAATGTGCAATTTCACAAGCGGCAACTTCTCAGCCGCAGCGCTTGGCCCCCTAGCCTAGCCCAACCTAGCCCATCCTAGCCGCAGCTGCATAAATCCGCAATTCACTTGTATAGGAAAACCACAATTTAAATCATCTTTATATTTTTAGATAGAGAAATACGAGCTGAACAATTTAGAATTGATCTCCTCTTTTTGTTAATCTTTTGTTTGTATCCAGGAAAGTGTATAAAATTCAACCAAGCAGAGTGGCGTTTGCAGAGTTCCAAACAGCCAATCAAAAGCCGCGAAATTCTAAAATTTTCCGCTTGATTTAATTCGGAATCTAGTTGGGGTATCCAAAAAGAGGAAAAATAGCGGATTAAGCAGAAATCAAAAGGAGATAATCAGATTTATCGTTAAAAAGTAAATTTTGTCGACAAAATATTTACCTTTCTTCTCCCCACTCTAGTCCACAAGCACATTTCCTTTAAAAATAACATGTCCGTAATGTATGATATTGAATGCTATCTAATTGGATAAAAATGGTTAAATCTAGATGTAATTCTTAACTTAATCTTAATAAAATCTAAAAATCTAAATTTATCTGATTCTAAAAGTCTAGATATATTTCTAAACTTAGATACAAGTAAAATAATCTATAAGATAATATTATAAAAATCGAGACATAATTCTAAAAATCTAGATATAAGAATTAAAAAATAATAATAAAAATCTAGATAAAATTCTAAAAATTCTAGATAAAATTCTAAAAATCTGAATATAATTCTAAAAGTTTCAATATAATTCTAAAAATCTAGATATACTTCTAAAAATATAGATATATTACAAAAAATCTAGATATAATTCTAAAAATCTAG